CAGAAGAATTAACAATAGAAATTGAAATAAAATAGAGAGCCAAAGTACCATCTGTCCGTATGAAACATTGTTTTATGTCTGAATGTGCACTGCAGATAAGACTGAGCAAGAGGAAAATTTTAATAAATGTGTTTCAGACAATTGATTATTCTGATAGGAAAAATAACATAAGACCCTGGACCTTCACAAAATCAAGAAGCAATTCTGGATGAAAGAATTTAATGTGAACCAAAAAATATTACACAAACAAATTTGTAGATGAATATATTTTTGACATCAAGAATATTAAAATGACACAGAAAATCCAAAGACTAAAAGATATTATAACATACTACATTGATATCTATTAAAATATTATAAAGTAAAAAAGATAACCTATAAACTATAAGTCAACACAATTCACACTCCATATAATTGACAAGGGTTAATGTCTCATTCATAAACTAAAATTAAAGCAACAACTCAGTATGAAAATAGGCAAAGAGGCTAGAACAGGTATTTCCCAAAAGAGTGAACACAGTCAACAAACATGAACCAAGGTTCATTCTCCTTAGCAGAGAAACCTGAATAAAAATCACAAGGTACCATTTTACACATACTACATTGGCAATGAACAAACCTGACAGTATAAAGTGTGATGATGTTGTGAAGAAACCAGAAATCTTACACAATGCTGGGAAAAGTATTTATTTTTATAGCCACTCTCTCAAACTATTTGATATTATGCAGTAAAATTGAAAATAAACATATTCTATGTATCAGCATACCTACTTCTAAGTACATACTGTACGAAAACTCTTGCATATATGCTCCAAAAGATAAGTATAATAATGTTCCTAGCAACACTATTTATAACACAAAAACATAAAATATAAGTAATCCAAGTGTACATAACAGAAAAATGGATGTCACATCCGATACATTTTTATAATGGAAAAGTATATATTGCAGTGAAATAATGAACTACAGCACCCTATACTCAGATCAATCTCACAAAACATGTGCTGGGCAAAAAAGCAAACCAACTTCCATTAGATTAACATATATATTTAGTAAATTAACCTTTATGGTTTGAGTTGGTTAACTGATAAGTATTCAATAAATGTAAACTGTATAAATACTGTGTTGACATTACATTTATATCTTTAAATGTACTCTGGAGTAGAGTAACATAATGTACTGCATTACACTATGAAATTTTCTTGGGTAGTCATTAATGATCCTCAACTTTATTTCCACAGAATTTAGCACAGATACTATATATAATAGATATTTCATGAGCCTGAGTTCCTTCAAGGCAGAGACCGAAACAAAGTCTGGGTACAAGTGATCTCTTTGGGAAGTGATCCCAGGAAGCAGGAGAGAAGAGAGGGAAATATGAAAATGTAGTACAAGGATACTTCATCAAAATGTCCAATACAACTGGTGGTGCAGTGTCTTTTTGGACCATTGGTGAAAGCTTATAAAACACCTTCAGAAGCATTTATCCATTAGCTTCCATGCCCTATTTATCAAGGATATCCAGAGCTTTAACTTTCTTTAAGTCTGGGTTACACGTGGCAGATGTAGATTCTCTCTGACAATCAATTCCTAGAGTCAGAAAAGCTTTAAGACAGAAAGTAAGATGGACTGAGCAAGAAGGCCAGGTGCTGCCAGGAAGCAGGTTGTCAAGGAAGTGGCCACAAGATTACATAATAAAATGAAACAGAACTAAGATTTATTGAGGATTTAACATATAGCAGCCACCTTGTATCTTTCATTTAAACCGCACAACAATTTTAACAAAGTATTTTTAGCTCCATTTTATTTATTAAGAAAATTATGCTGAGAGGAAAAGTAACTTTCAAAAGTCTCATAATTTTAATGTGGCAGAGTAAGGTTTGGGGAACAAATATGTCTCAAAATCTTGAACTCTTTCTACTATACCATCAAGCCTACATTATTGTACAATTGAAACTGCCTAGAGAGCAACTACATTTCAGGACAGATGAATATAAAGTAAGGAGATAAAGAAAATAAAAAAGAAATGTACTGAGTTACAGTAACACAATGTAATTCATAGTTGGAATAGGGCTAATATAAGCAAACATGTCATGAGAACTGGTGTTACAATGATTTTTGTATTTGTAAAGAAATATTACCAAAGCCTATACATCAGTTTGTTCTTTACTTCCTTTTTCCTAATATTGGCTATTGCTCAAATTATCTGACCAATACGCTGGTAAAAAATGGACCTAGTAATTCAAAATATTAAATTTGGAACTTGTACACATCCTTTAAATCACTCAACAATAAGCTATGTATAGTATTTCTTGTTGTCATTTTTTTCTTGTTACACCTACTAACAAAGCAGCAAATAACTGACAAAATAACTGGTATTTCTAACTAGCTTTCCAAATTAAAAGAGGGGGAGGGGGAGGGAGAGGGAGAAAGAAGCTAAAGGAAAAGAAGCTAAAGGAAATGAAAATCAGAGTGGGACTCAATGAAATAGAAAACATAAAAAACAATAAAGTTAGTGAAAAAAACTAATTTGAGATCAATATAAATGGTAAACCTAGAAAAACTCATGTGAAAAGGGGAGCACAAATTATCATTATCAGGAAAATAAAAGGTGACATTGTTACAGGTTCCACAGGTACTAAAAGAATAATAGGGATTATTATGTGCAACTTTATACAACTACCAAAGCTCACTCAAGAAGAAATAAATGATTTAAATTCCTCTTTTTAATTAAAAAATTGAATTTGTACTTTAAAAAGCTTTCCTACAAAGAAAATTCCATGCCTAGATGGCTTCATTGATGAATTATGCTAAATAATTAAATTAGAAATAATGCAAATGCTTAAACTTCCAGAAAATTAAAGAGGAGGGAGTATTTCCTAAAGGCCATTTAGGCGACAGCATTACTCTGATATCAAAACCTGAAAAAAATATAAAAAAACAAAAAACTAAAGACCAACATCATTCATGAACACAGGTGGAAAATTTTTAAACAACATTTTAAGAAATCAATCCACAACAATTAAAGATTACATCTCATGACTTATTGAGTCAACTGGCACTTATCCAAAGAATATAAAGTTGATTTAACAACTGTGTTAGCAAAATAGAAAACTTAAAACCATATGATCATTTAACAGGCCTAGGAAAGTACTAATGAATTCCAATATCCATTCATTCATGCTGGGTCTATATCTCAGTATACCAGTAACAGATAAGAACTTTCTTGATATGTAAATTACATTTTCTAGAAATGTATATCTAACATACTTAATAGTGAAAGGTTAAATACTTTTCCTTATGACCAGGAACAAGATAAGAATCTTAATTCTCAAAGCTTTTATTCAACATTGTTCTACAGGTTTAGCTAATTGTCATCAGGTAATATAAACTAGACTCCAAAACAAAAAGGAATTAAATACTGATACTTAAAACATGGGTAAACCTCAAGAATAATTATGAGTAAAACAAAAAAGCTGGATAAAAAGAATAATAACTACTTCATAAATACATTTGTATAAACTCTAAAAAATACAAACTAATCCTTAGTAACATTAAGCAGATCAGTGGTTTCCTTCAACTGGATGGTGAGAAGAAGGGATCATAAATGAGACTAGAGAAAATTTTTGTGGGTGATAGATGTTCATTGTCTTGATTGTGATGAAAGTTTCATAGGTATATACATTTTTCAAAGCTTGTCAAATTATATTATTTGAATATGCACAGCTTATATAAATTACACCACAATAAACTGTTTATACCTAAATAAAATTTAGCTAGCTGATTTCTCCTCCCTTCATCTATAGAATATTTGTTCTCTTCCCACCATTCCGCAAGGATGAAAGAATCCATAGATCTTGACTCCTGGGAAAGAATCATCATTTTTTGGAATTAGTTCATTGAGATCTCCTTGCATCTTCAGTTTTCTGATTTTTTTACTTATCTTTTCTCATTGTTAGGATGGAATTGATGCTCTCTTGCAACTTTTATATACAAGCTAGAAGAACTTCTTTCCAAGATTCATGCTTGATTTTAGGATAAAAACTAACAAATTACTCAAAAGATAAAAAAATTTTCTAAAAATGAAAGCCAGGACAGATTTTTCCCCCCAAGGGTCTCTGTAACAAGGACCCTACAGGAGAAAAACAAGCATTTTAAATATTCCCAGTAGAAGCAGTAATAAATATCAGAAGATTATCCCAGCACTATTCAACATATGTGAAGATCTGGATCCAAAGCACAATTCAGACTGAGCAGGTCTGCAGCAAATCAGAATAATGAGTGGACTCTAAAGACCCCACTGTCTGCCAACCAGCTTGAAACAGAGATGGCTTAGGGATGTTCCTTGTATATAGAACAAAGCTGGTTTTTGTTTAAGGAGTCAATTTGAAAATATTTTTCTTATTTTTTAAATTGACTCAATCATTGTACATTATTTGTGAGGCACAGTATAATGTTTCAATCATGTATATCTTATATAATCATCAAGTTGGGTATTCAGCATATTCAAAACCTCATATATTAACCACCTCTTTTGTGCTAAAAACATTCAAAATGCTCTCTTCTAGCTACTTTAAAAAATATTCCATGTAATAACTGTCAATCCTAGCCGTACTACTGTGTAACAGAACACTGAAACTTATTCCTCCTAGCTAACTGCAGCTTTGTATCTGTTGACCAGTCTCTTCTTGTCATCCCCTCATTCCTGTCCTCCCCAATGTCTGGTAATCATTCTATTCTGCACTTTTATGAGATTAGCTTTTTTAGGTTCCACATGTGAAATCATGTAGTATTTGTCTTTCTGTGCCTGCAAAATTTCACTTAACATAATGTCCTCTAGGTTCAGCAGTATTGCTGAACAGGACTTCATTCTTTTTCATGGCTGAACAGAATTAAGTTATATATCTATATTGATAGCTCACATTTTCTTTATTTAGATTGATTCTATATCTTGGCTATTGTGAATAATACTGCAACAAACATGAGAACAGAATGACTCTTCAACATTGAAAACCATTTTCTTTTGAAAGGTGAGTTAAATCAACTCACATTTATATGTCTGATTTGTTTGGTTTCAAGTCCATCATATGATTTTGTATGGATAATATTTACTTTGCTTTTTTATTTATTTGGTATCTTATTTTCTTTTTAAAATATTTATTTTGTTGTTTAGGAATGCTTTTATTTTTATTCTAGAGGGTGCTTTGTATTTTGTCATAGTTCTGTTAATCTTTTTTACTAATTTAAGCTTTTATCATTTTCTGTCAATTTATAGAAAAGAATGTTATCTTATTTTTTCTCTTCATCACCACTTATTTCATTTTAATTGCATCATTTCTTCTTTATCAAAACATATTACCTTTACACATTTTTTCATCAACATCTCCATCTTTGTATTAATATTAGCTCTATATTTAAGTATATTAAATTCCCACTATCTTTTGCCAAAGCTTCCCCAGTTATATTTTGGTTGGATAAGCTCACCCTTAGCAGACTCCTCAGAAAGTATGTTTTATTTGAAGTGCTGCACATTCAAAACTGGCTTTTAAGAAATAGTTTTGATACCTGGAGAACATCTTAGCAGTATTTTTTTAAAAATCCTTGCCTTGTCCTGTATTTTCCTGAGTTTCTTAAAAAATCTTGTTCCACAACTGCCTTCCTTTGTGTGCTGCTCTTGAGAAATACAATGTCAGCCTGATTCTCTTACTTTTATAGCTAATGTGACCTTTTTACTGCTAGGCCCTGAAGACTTTTCTTTGTTTTACTTGGATGTGTATTACAGTTGATCTTTTCAGGTCAAATTCTGGGTACTTGGTCATTCCTTTTAGTAAACAGACTTCAGTTTCCTCTTATTTGCAGAAATATTCTTATATTTAGTTGTAAATATTAATAATATTAAATTAAATATTATTTTGTTTTTCCCTCAGAAACTCCATTATATATGTTTTGGACCATTTTTGTGCCTGATGGTTACTTAGTACTTTTCTGCTGACCCTTTCTATGTTTTTGGTCTCATTTCATTTTCATTATTGTTTTTGGAGGAAGAGTATTCATTACTTTAGATTTGTATTTTTTATTTCTCTTCTCTTTTTACAATAGCTTTGAATAGAGTTGGCTCGATTTTTTTTTTCTATCTCTAGGGACTAGGAGACAGGGCTCTTGTTCTTCTCTATGTTGGTAGGAAACTAGGTATTGGTGTGTCTTCTTACACTTCTGTTCTTCTCACTTTTGGCCTGGGAAATACCTCACACTCATCCACAGTTTCCCATGAGTGGCCAACTGGACATGTGTTCTCTCTGGCAGGTACACTGACTAAGGAGAGTTCTCCAGAGGATGGATGCCTTTTCATACTTTGGCCTGATTTTGTCTGTGAGTCCTAACAGTGAGCTGAGATCAGCAACAGCATCAGCCTGCCAAGATATGCCTCAGACTCCAAATCTAGTCCAAGAACATGTTGGAGTCCATTACAAAGCTGATTCTATGGAACAAACTCTTTATTCAGTGAAATAATATCCAAACTGAAAAGTGAAGTAAGGGTCCAAAGGTTGGCTAAGTATGCACATATTAGCAGTCCCATTCAAATTTCAGATAACAAACTCTGACCCTAGATGTAAATTCAACCTGTGTAATGTCTGTCACATACAGGACCCGTGTAAATCCCATGTTGTTGCACTAGTTGTGAAACTTTGGGAAATTTAAGCAACTTCTATGAATCTTAGTTTTCTTCTTGTTAAATGTAAGTGAAAACTCTTCTCATATAATTTTTGTAGGCATCACATAGGAAAATACATGCAAAATGGAATGTACTTAACAAAATATCTAGTACATGAGGGCCCACTATTATTTACTATTATTATTGCTGTTTCCAGTGAGTGTAGTTTAACCCAGTTCCTTTGATTTTATTCATTACAAAAGTAGCTCTCCTTGAGCTCTTCTGGGTAGCAAACATTTGTGCTTTATAAATGTAAGTTTGTATTTCTGTTCTTCATTTGTAATAACCTGAAAGTAAAGAAAGTAAGTAGCCCAATTTTACAAATGAAGAAACTAAAGTTTATAGTTTAAGTCACCTGTCCTAGGTTACATGTCTACTTAGTGATAACAAAATTAGGATTCATAACAAGATTTATTTGATGCCAAAGCCTAAAATACTATCTTAACTCTTACTGAAAATCTTTTCACTGACTGCTTCCTCCTCATTCCTCCAGCATTAATATTCAGTTTCATACAGTGCCTCATGTTTTATTTCATCTTATTAGCTGCTTTCTGAGCTTTTGCCTTAATTCTCCAGCATAACTACAGTATGTTCTTTAAAGGAGGTAACTATTTTGGAGTTTGTTAGTTTGTTTTTAACCTCATTGTACTTATTCTTCCTCAAAATAGTACTAGATTCAAGTTCTCAGTAAATGCTTACCAAGTTTATAAAAATCAACTTGAATGATTTATGCTTATCTCAAGGAAGATACAGTTGCTGATTTATCCAGCTGTGTTGGATCATCTTATCCAAATGAACATGTTTTGAAAGCTCAAGACAAATATTATAAAGGGAATCTGAGAAATGTATAAAAATTTTAATCTAAAAAGAGAATTAAAGTATGAGAAACATCAGACTTACTTGGTTTTCTAAATTTTTAAAAACAACTTTGAGTTATTTGAGTTCCAAGTTTGCAGGATAATGTAAGCACATGGATTTTGGAGGAAAATTTTCTGTTACTAGGAAAATATTTTTCTTATAAATCCCAACAAAGCTTGAACTAGTCCAAGACATCTGACTCATTGTTCACTCCCCACTGATGCCTGAGTCTATGCTCTAGAGCTTTCTCTCAGGATCGTATCACATTCTGCATCAATATCCACTCTCTTACATAATCACAAAGTTCAATGACCAAAGTGCCATATCAGTGAACAAGTTACTACCTCTTAATATACAGTAGTTCCACAGACTTAAAAATAGAAACCTCGGTTGGGCATAGCGGCACATGCTAGTCAGGAGACTGAAGCAGGAAAAATCAAGATTTCAAGGTTAGATTGGGAAACATAGCAAGACTCTGTCTGAAAAAATTAAAATAAAAATATAAATATAAAGAATACTAGTAATCTACAGAAAATAGGCTTTCATCAGTAAGTCCATTAACAAAATTTTATTCAAATAACAGCAATTGGGGTAACTGATGAGGGCACAGAGGCCAAAGACATGGTCCCTGCTCTCAGGGATACAAACAGATAATCAAGCGTGGTGACAATTATAGACACTATGATTTAAAAATTTATAGAGTACAGGGGATATAGATGGAAGTCTAAGTAGTAAATTATAAAAGGCTGTGTAGACAAGATTATATGTGAGGTACTTCTAGAAAAGAAATAGTATCGAAATGAGAAAGCACAGGTAGCCTGCACATAATTGCAATTTATGTCAGGTCTTCTATCCCACTGACCTCTACTACCCAGGAGTTTCAGGAGACCTGAGTGCTATTTACCATCATTCCATCTCCACATGCTCTAAACACTTGCTCCAACTCAACCTATCTAACATTCTCTCTTCTATTTCATGCTATGTTTCTTACAAGGTCCCTTTTGCTCCAATATTTCCTGTGACCTTTAATATGTCTCACAGGATAATCTCATTTGAAATTAGACAATGATACTTCCATTCTTCAAAAACCAATTTAGATTTTACCTGTTTCAGGAAGCAATCTAAAAGCTACTTAGGAAGGAGGCAAATGGCCTTGTAGGAATTCAAGTGGAATGTCAAAATTTTGATTGTGATGTGTTGTGTTGGATGAGGCCAGCCTTGAAGGAACAATTCTCTTCTTCATCTTCAATTCTGTCATTCCAGAGAAGGTAACACATCACCCTACAACATGGGATAAAACTGCTGTAAGCATTCAGAAAATGTAACCAGTATTAAATCAAATTAGATAAACAGATCATTTGTGCCTTAGTCTGCCACCTATAAAATAAAAATAATCCTTGTCTCCTCTTCTTACAAAGAACTGATGAATAACTTATTCTATCCCTGAAATCTAGGGCAGAAACAGCCATATCATAGAACCTTAGTAAATTTACACTGATTGAATAGATGAAGAGGCTAACTTCTGAGACATCTGAAATGAGACATTATGTGAGGTTTTTAGAACTCAAAAAGTACCTAAAGCACTAATTAAAAATAGCCTGCATAGTAACATATCTCTTAATGAAACATTCATATGTTTTTAAGGTTATATATTAATGATATTCTATAAGTAGAAACATTTAAGAACTACAGAAATGGCTGTACTGGGATGAAACACATTGAAGCAGAACATAATCCTAATCCTTTTTAGTGGGCATGTGTCATTCCTTGCCTAGGAATGATCATGAACTCGGAAGGCATAAGCTTTATGTGTATAAGAAAAACAGCCACTTACTAGATGCACATGCTACTATTTTCAGAGCACAAAAATTACAGTATGTTTTTAAAAAATCTTTTCTAGGGCTGGGAATTTAGCTCAGTGGTTCTGCCGCCTGCCTCACAAGCGCAAGGACTCGAGTTCAAAATAAAAAAAAAACGTACACACAAGTGGCTAAGCAATCCTGAAAACTAATAGAAATACGTTTTCTCATTAGAAACTCACCTATATTCAAAGTTGCCATAAATTAACTTGGAGTGTTACCACAAACAAGTGAAAGAATTTTCAAAGCGTCTAAAATGGCCTCATTTATCCATGGGAACTTTGTATATGATAGAGATGGCACCAAATACTGGCAGGAAAAGATGCTGTGTTCAAAAAGTGGGTTATGAATATTGGCTTACCATATAAAAGAAAAATTAGATCCCTGACTCACACCAGACATAGAAATAAGTCCTAGATATATTAAAGAGCCAAATATGAAATGAAAACTTTAGAATTACTTTAAAACTTAAAAATGGGGTAAGATATTAAAGATTTTGAAGTTGAGGCTAGCTTGTGTCACAAAAGCAAAACTCATAAGGGAAAATATTGATGTATTTTACTGCCTAAAATTCATTTTTGTTTATGGTATAGAACATCATAGGCAAAGTTAAAAGGACAAATTATTAGAAGAAATTTGCAATAAAGTGGCACTATAAGAATATAAAAATCATCCAAATCAAGATCAAACATTTCAACAGAAAAAATAGGATAAAAAAAGACAATTCTTAGAAGAAAAAAATAGCAGGATATGAAAAGACAATTCTTAGAAATTTATATTCCGATAAATATGTTAAGGTATGCTCAACCAAAACAAAAATTGAGTAACAACAGTGTGATAACACCTAGCTTATATTATTAGACTGATAAAGAAATGACTGTCTCCCAGGAAGTGTTGATAATAATGAAGGGGAAAGAGAAATGCACACATGGTAAGTGGGAACACAAGTGACTACTGCTTAGAAAGCAACAAAGCAGCTGCACTACATATGATGGAAATGGCCATGATCCTTTGCTTCTCCCATTTTCACACTCTGCAATAGAATTTTGTACATCCTCTCATCAGGAGATGGAGTCTATTTCCCATTTTCTTCTCTCTTGGCTGACCTTCCATTTCATTGCTTTTACTAACAGAATGCAACAGAAGTTGTGTCTCAAGATTACAAGGAGTAATTAAAAGATATTGTGAATGTTTAAATTTTTTTAAAACTTATTACAGTAAAAGACACATTGACAAGAATAATTGGGAGCAAGGCAAAGTAAAGCAAAGTGGAATATTCTGAGTATTTTGAGTGGGATTAATCCAGTGTATCTTTTGCTGTAATACTTTTTAAATTTAAACACTGACCATATATTTTGATCATACCACAATGAGCAACAACTTCTGTAAAAAAAGAACACCAGATTTGTCTCTATGCAAAAACTTCTAGCTCTTCCCCAAAGTCAAAACTGTCATAAAAAGTAAACAGTTTTGTCGATCCCTGGTGGAAAAAAAAAAAGTAAACAGTTTTGAATTGACTCTGGAAGCTAAGGGAGCTGCAACAGTGCAATTAAAGATACTCATTAACTACAACTCAATATCTGCTTCAGAAAGTAGCAAAAATGATGAGATAAGTGTGTTTGAAGGCAGTGGGGGGGGTATTTTGATCTAGATCAATGGTAATGTGTCTTTTACTGTAATATATTTTTTAGAATTTAAACATTCACAATATTTTTTGACCGTACCTTGTACTTGCACTATATTACTTGTTCTCTTGCTTCTTGCAACTGCCTTGAGAACAGACCTGTTAAAGAAAGAAAGTAAGGCCACGTGAAACAGACAAGCTGTCCTAGCAGAGGGATACTAAACCAGACAGCTCTGGCTAACCTAACAGCCAACCATATGGTGTAAGCAAAAGTAACTACACATAGTAAATCCTGTAGCCCAGAGGCAAATCTTTCATGTCAAGAGATCCCACTGCCCTCAGAAGGAACACTTGTGGACACTAAAGCCATGCCTTATGTCAGTATCTCCTGGTGCTGCCATCTTAATGCAGTGCTGTAGTTCCCTCCAAGAGTCTCCTAGTTATACCTAATTTTGAAGTCATTTAGTACAATGGCAAAAGCTCATAAGTTAGTTTCATTTGTTTTAATGGGTTTTTTTTAATACTTCAACCAAATCTGATATTCACATGAGAAAAATCTTCCCTTGGAACATCAGTCTCTGAGTGTCAATTCTTCCATGATTTTGCTGGGATATTCTAAGTGAAATAAATAGGACACACATGTGTAAATATCAAATAGTTTCTCTAGTGTGAGAAACTTAAAGTGTAAATAAGGATCAAATGTATAATAGATAATATGAAATAGGAAGAAAAGGTCCAAAGGGGAAAGGGAAGTAGGATGGTTAGGGGAAAGGAAAGAAGGGAAAGAGAGAAATATGAGAAAAGTAAAAAATGAAAACATAGTCTTTGTAAATAGGGAGGGGTAGAGGGTTGAAGAGAGGGCAGAGAAATGAGGAAAAAAATAAGAACCAAGATATATCATGTAAAGGTACAAATTCCCAATGATGGATGTATACCTAAAATGTAAACTCAATGAATATAAAAAATGGTGAAATAAAATAATATCCACTGCTGAGAAAAAAACCTAATGCACTAATATTTGTACATTTTCAAACTATCACAAAACACATGTTTTCTAAGCACTGAAATTAAGTAAGGCAATTTACATACATTTATTTCTAAAGGTAAAATTCTGATGTAGATAACAAGAGGTAGATTAAAAGTCTAAAGTTTTCACTTTTCAAGCCAACAACCTAAGTGTCAGTAATGTTTTCGAATGAAGACAAAATAATCATAATGACAAAAGCAGCTGTTTACTATGATATGTTAAGAAAAGTAAGGGCTTAATATACATTATCTCACTTAATGTTTCAACAATCCTGAAACTTAAATATTGTTCTCCTTTTTACAATGCCACTGAGATATGAGGAGATTAAACTGCTTATCCATGGTCACAGAGGCAATAAGTAGTGAAGCCTGGTTTTAAATAGAAGTATGACTCCAAAAAGTCATGCTCCTAACCACTGTACTCTGCATTAAAACAAATATGAAAATCAAAACCATTATAATAATCATTAAAACTCACAGACTCCTTTGTCATATATTATCTTATTTGACTCCATATAACTCTCACAACTACCATCTTATAAATGAGCATCTTAAGGCTCATACCAGGAAAGTGTATATTCCCAAAGTCACAAAGTTTGTATGTAGTATATCTCCACATGAAAATAGTCTCAGTACTGGTATTTGTATGAGAAACTGCCTTAATTTTTGGAGTGTGATGGATGTTCAGAAAACCACTTAAATTTAAACAACTATCCTCAGCTGTGACAGTCACCTCTATCATTACTTCCACGATCAGGGAAGGAAAAAGAACTGAGAATGATGCCACTGGAAGGTGGCAAAGAAAGAAGCAAGCGTCTTCCTGGAAATAGAATGTTACAGAGCTATGACACCTTCCCCAGCACAGGAGCAAGAGATGAACACACCACTTTAATCACGTTTGGTTTCTAGATGCAAATGCAGCCTGTAAAGAGTATTTCCAGGCACTGGCTCACAGGCTGACCATAAAGCTGGGACAAGCGCCTGCAGCATGGGTGATGGAGACAATTGCTAAATCACTGGCCACCTCCTACAGTGGTAGCACAGGCCTGGTGTTCAGCTGTCAAGCTCAGGGGCAGAGGTCAGCACCAGGGCTCCCTATGGCCAGGACCAGGGCGCGAGGGAGTGGCTGGTGGCAGGTGCAGCCTGGCCATCCCTAAGCAGTCCTATGCACTAGCTGCTGGGAGGCAGGTGTCAGGGGCAATGTGCAGTAATGTGATGGGAGGGGCCTTCCCAGGTCCTCAAATAGGAACTGTCTAGCTGCCCTGGTGTCCACCCCAGCAGGGCCTCTTCCTAAGAACTGGGCTCACCAGACTCTGCAACAGCTGCTCAGCCCCCTAAGATACAAAAAGTCTGAATGAATACAATGAGAAATGCATATTTCCACGTGGGAATTCTCAGAGAGCATAAATTCCACTGCGTGATTAAATTTGGTCAATATAAATACCCCTAGCCTCATAAATAACTTTAGGAGTTTAAATTGTCAACATGACTTATGACTTCTCTGCCTCCACATAACTTTACACCTACCTATGTTTTGAAGAAGTGGAGGAAAAAGCCCTTTATGAATATCCTAGATTCCAATTAATTAGGCCTATTAATTTGCTGTTTTCTTTCTCATCAATGCAATAGGCCTGATTTTGAGCTTTCCTGAGCAGTTTCCTGTAGTTAAGGGTCTCTGGAACTCAAAGTGGATAAAATGTAATTGGTGTTAAAGTGAAAAACAAGTTATAAGAACATTATCTTTTTAAAAAAATTGATTTAAATTTGAAAAGTCCCTAAAAGACTAGTTCTTTAAAACAAGTGCTGGGCATGGTGGCGCATGCCTGTAATCCCAGCACTCCAGAGGCTGAGGCAGGAGGACTCCGAAGAGTTTGAGGTCAGACTGGACTACAGAGAAAGTTCAAAGTCAGCCTGAACTACATAGCAAGACCCAGTCTCAAAAAACAAACACAAACAAAGGAGTTTGTCATGGAAAACCAACTACATGCTGAAAATAATGAACAAAAACTCTACCTTAACAAATTTCTGAGAACAAGCTTTCTATCTTAGGCCCTTAAAAGCCTTCTAGAAGTTTTTCAGTTTGACATTGCCAGTTCACTCACAAACACTGACTGCCGAAGCAAGTTTGAATGACCGATGTGCCCATTTAAAAAGGGGTAAGATTTCTATGGTAACAAAGCCTCTGAGCAACACCCTGAAGGAAAGAATTTAGCCAAGCCAAGTTCTGGAAAAAAATAGTTCATGCAAAGAGAACTGCAAATACAAGGGGCCTAAGGTAGGCTTCTTCAAGGAACACTCAGGTGAACACTGGGACTGAAACAGTTAGAGTGGGGAAGCGCTGTTGGAAATGATGTTGGATAGGCTGCCCTAAGGGTCAGAGTCATAACAGGTCTCACTGACTCATGGTAAAGACTTTGACCTTCAGAGAAGGAAATGAGAAACCACTGCAGGTTTGCAAAGGAATGACATAATCAGATTTAAATATTTAAAAGATCACTTTAATTAGTATGTAAAGAAAAACATATAAAGGTAAGAGTGGACGAAAGGAGACAAGTTAGGAGGCTGTACACTAACCCAGGTGAGAGATACTGGGTAGCCAGACCAAAGCCTGCTGAGTGGAGCTGGTTAAGAAGGTGTCAGGTTCTTACAGTGTCTTGAAACCAAAAAGGACAGGAAATGCTGATCAAGCAGATGGAGAACATGAGAGCATGACAGAAGTAAGGATGACTCAAAATTTTCTGGCTTAGAAACAAATGGATTTGCCATTTACTAAGAGGAAGGGAGAGGAATCCTGTGGGAAAAGTAGTCAAGAGCAGCTTTTGTCTTGTTTTCTCCCTTAGCCTCTTCTTTAACCCAGGGTCTTTCCACACAGTATTTTAACTGGCCCCTAAACTCCATGCACAGCTGCTTCTCCCTTGGACAGATATGGATCCTTCTCCAAAATCTCCCTATTTCATAACTGTTCTGCATCTTCTTATTATTGTTATGTAGAAAAAATTGTCAAATATTATTTTTAGAAGTTGGTATTATAAAACATTAGGGTTATTCTTTTTTTTTCTTGAACGCCAGCCACTGAAAAATCACTGCTCTCACTGAGCAAGTAATTCCTGTTTTCTATGAAGAGAAGAGACCTTTAAGCATCTTTAGGCAAGAAATCTCTGCTCCTGCAAGAGGATCAAGCTGAAAATAGAGGCCCCCAAGACACGTGCTTCAAAGCATGGATAGATGTCCCTACACTCTCCTCCTCTCATCTCCTGGCATCACTGTTTATTCATGTCACATTCAGAACCTGTTTGTCAAAATGGTGAAAGTGAACAGTGTGAGGTGTCAAAAGTAATGCATTACTAACAATAAAGATAGGCTTGAAAATTAGTTATTTTTTTTAAAAAAAGTATTGGAGAAAAGTAAAATGTATCCCTATGTTACTGTCACTTTCTCTTACCTTCTGGAAAAAGAATAGGGTGGAATTGTTGTTCATGCTGTGGGGATTTTACAGAATCTTGGGCATCCTCATGAGAGTGACCACTAAAGTGAATGGCAACCATCTACATGAATCAGTAGGGGGGAAAAAAGATTGAGGGCTGCTAGCTTAGCTATCCCAAAACAGCACTGTGGAACGACTTGGAAGAGATGGAGGACCTCATCTTTGCCTTTGCAAAGCTGACAGTTTTGTAAGGACTCCAGATATAAAAGAACAAAGGCTAATTTAATGCTAGCCTTTTCTACTCCATGTGTTTAAATTTACAGACTTGCCATACTTTTTCCCTGATTAATCTTCTTTCTTGTTATCTTCCTCCCCCTGCCTCATCTCACACCCAGGAGCAGTAGCTCTCATCAAAGGTATTGATTTCTGCCTGGAGCAGGCAGGAAGTGGAACACAGCAGCCTGAGAAAGATACAGAAGCAGCTGCTCACCCAGAGGGATTTGTGGCAGGAATCTATTGTTGGCCTCTAATAAGAACAACAATAATATTATCATGGCCAATAATAACAGTAACTGCTAACACATGATGCTAGGTGCATCATCATCTAATTTTCCCACAACACTGCAAGGTAGGTTCTACTAACTCGTTTTCAGAGGTTAAGATACAGAGGGATAGAGGGGTAAGAGAACGTGCTCATGGTCACCCACTA